TCATTCATTTTTAATCTATATTAATCACAATTCATTTTACATGAGCAAACGGACTCAAGAAAAAAGGGAATATATATGCACTTAACATGTTTATTGAACATCTTGAACATGAGTCGGATGCATTCCATCTGCCACAGAAGTGCAATACCATGAACCCATATCAAAAAGCAAGATTTTTTCTGAGCCGGACAACTTGTCATATTTAAGATACCTCAGTTTATCTTCGTTCACTTACAATTAGCCCGAACTACCGTAAATCCGACAAATAATCCGACTAATCATGAAATCCAATTCTAGCCCAGTTAATTGCCATTATTAGCAATATCAGTTAACACATTACGCGCGGTGCTTTACGTATAAAACTCCGTAGCAACACGTCCACAGATAAGTTGGACGGTATAATTTGTGCGACTGATTTAATGAGCCATAAATGAGAAGTAGTGCTTAAACAGTATAAAACTACAACTTTCCCTTCTGTTGATAAAAGGCGCAGCCATCTTGGATTCTGAACTCGGGATCCTCTGTGCTGCTCCGAGATATTTCTCGGATCTCCGAGAAACGGGAGCGCATATGTTGTCACTTCCGGCTTCAAAACTCCAGAATACAACTCGGAATACGAGTTCCCAGGGCAAATGGAATGCACTAAAACTGCCCGAAATGGGTTGACAGAGACATTTCAGGGATTTAGAGTCATTCTGCGCTGCACATGGGTTAATTGCGTTAAAAATTTTAATCAGATTAATCATGATGATGGATTAATCCACGTTATCCCGTTAATTTCGACAGCCCTAATTTTTATATATTTGTGTTCTATCACATGCAAGGTTGCAATTCAAGGTTCAGTAATGTCTTTTTATTTCTGTTGATAAGCAATCTGTTGGTGTGATGTGGTAAAGATGTAAGCTAGTAATCAATAGTTACAGGAAAGAACCCCATTAGGGCCCATCCATGATCTGTCATCAAAAGACAAATTCAGTGTTTGCAAACAGTGTTTTTTTAATGCCGATTCTGATATCCAAAGGAACAGCATACATTTTTTTCTCTTATTCCATGGATTTTACTTGTGTATTAGCCCTACAGTTACACACATTCAAATTAGCAAGCTCTCGAGTTTTGCTACTGTTTTACCTTCATAGTTCCCGGCCCGAAAAAATTACACCTAAAGATGTTTTTTTTTAGCATTTAAACACAAAATGAACCAGATAAAATAAGAAGAGCATATACTGTACTAAACACATCTAAGCACATTTATCAAAACAGTCATTTGTAAAGTAAGAAAATAAATGTATCCAAACAATGTGTAAAGTTAAAAAAAAAACAATGTGTCCTGCCCCAATCGTCCGCTCCTTCCGTGTGCCACGCCCCCTCGTTAACCCCGTGTGGAATCCCCATGTGATCAGCTGTTTCTGGTTGTTTTCATCAGCCCTCTGTATTTCGTCCGCATTTCAGTTTGTTTCCCCAGTCCGGTCATTGTATTGTCCGTCTGTGTTTTGCCTGCCTTACCTGTAATTAAACCCAGTATTCCTCGATACCCTGACATCTGCGCCTTTGTCTCCATTCCGTCCCCACTCAGCACGACAATATTATTATAATTGAATGTATTAATGGTTTATTATTAATATAAAAAATAATGAATAATAAATCTTTATATTTAAATGTATTTCATTATATAATTACTGTTACTGTCTATCGTTGTCTAAATGTATTTTTACTGTCTAAATATATATATTCAGCTAGTGTAAACATGCACGATGCTCTCACAGCGAATTCAAGGCTGAAACTGAAGCGTTACCCATTGTTTCCGCTGAGAGACGTGCCCCGTGATTAATTTCTCCGTGCTTACAAGTTATCTTAGGTCGGCGTTCACGGTTTGACTTCTTAGATTCAGATCGAGCTCTAGGTAATTTTTTTTTTCGAACTGGTTGGTTCGAATTTGAAGAAATTAGAATTCTAATGCGTTTGAGAACTGAGGTACCACTGTATAGTTATGATGCAAATGTATAGATTTAGAACTTGCTTCTTAATTTTAAATTTATATTTCCATATTATATTTATTTGCTTACCGCTTTGTCTTTGTATTGTATGTGTCAAAGAGGATAGAATGGAGCCTCTTGTTATGGTAGAAAAAAATACAATACTATTTCCAAAAAAGATTGGACAGTGTGCAAAATGTAAATGAAACAGAAGGCAATGATTTGATCATAGAAACCCATATTTGATTGAAAATATAACAAAGACAGCACATCAGATGTTGAAACAGAAATTTTATTGTTAAGCGACAAATATATATGGGGCGCTGTTTGTAAACGAAACATTTTTGTACTTGCCACTTTTTCAACATTTAGTGCAATTTTCTAACATTTAGCTAGAAGTCAATGGTGTTGTGGATCATCATATTTTTTGCTGTGTAGATTATTTGCACAATTGTTCATCATATGTAAATATAAATGGTATGTGTATATATAAATATTAAATGTAAATGTCAAATATAAATGTTAAATATAAATATTAAAGTTAAATGTAAATATAAATGTTAAATATAAATGTTAAATGTTAACTTATATCTAAATGTTAAATGTAAANCACATTTTTGTTTACTCTTATGAAGGACATTGGGTTTGACTACAGCATCAAGATCTTTACAGCAAATACATGTTTCAGTTAAGAACCACCTGCTATCTGGATGCATCTGTTTTCTGTTCTTGTTTCTCTCTTCTGATTCTTTGTTTTGATTCCTCTTGAACTTTGATAAGGTCAGAGGCTACAGGAAGCAGTGGCTGATGTTGAGCCCTCTCCTCCCTACTAGCCCTATTCTGATGGGATTAGTTTTACACATGGAGGTTCGGTATGTAGTTTATGAAGTGATTTGTCTAGGTGATTCAGACGTATTAAGAAATGTTTGTAATTTCCCCATATTTCCAGATGTTGGGGAGATAAAACGAATCCCGTCCATTGATGTTAATATCAGAGTTGTGCTAGAAAACAAGTAACAACAGAATTTTCATTTTTGGGTAACTATCCCCTTACATACTAATCAAACACAAAAAATACAGAACTCTTTTCCTTCCAAACCATACAATGCCCTACAAACTAATGTACTCAGTAGTGTCATACATCTGCACCTACACCCGTTCTACTTGACAGGCCAGAAATACACAGCAGACTGTTCTGGTCATGTGTGTCATGTTATTTACCCATGAGTAATTAAACCCTTCGGAAAGTACCTTTATGACTCATGTTCCAGTTGTGGGCCGCATGTTTTCAGTTCTGCAGTTCTATTTCTTGTTTTGGTCTATTGATTTGTTCTGAGTTATTTATTTATTTTTTTACTTTGCATTTCCCCCCACACACACTGTTTGCAATTCAACTTACTACCCCTCACTATCCACCTTAAACTTGGATAACAATTTGGCTTTTTGAATTAAACTCATGGATCCTAATCTGGTGAGTTAATCGCCTAGCTCTGGCATTTTGAAAATGCATGGTTTAACAGTCCATGATACACGAGCAGATATGAAACCAATACAACCGGACTGTAGACATTACAGGCATTGTTAGCCCTGAGTATTTTAGCCCTGATGCCAATCTTCCTTCAAGAATATAAAATAAAAAAGGCAAGTCCCAGGTAAACTTCACTTCACTATTGATCTTTTCAATAGCTAGAAACTCCCCTGGTAGGGGGTCTGTATAAACTCATTGTATACCGGGCCTGTATTCTGCTTGTCACGTATATTTTATTTTAAATATGACCAATAAAGTTATGTCCAATGATATTTTTGTGGTGTTCTTGACTCTTTTCCTTTCTTAACACCTAAATGTTTTGGTAATGAAAATTGCTTATTACTGATTACAAAAAACGTAAAATTTTTGTGGGAAAAAACACTGAATATGAAATATTAAGTTTGTTAACCAAATGTACGTGTTTACACCTACTCGAGACACTAAAAATGGCGAATGGGGGCGTATCAGACAGTAAAAATACTCCGGCAATGTTGTCACTTTTGGAACCCGGATTAGAGAAGAGAGTCGATTTCAGATACGTCTACTGACGGTATAGTAGAACAACAGTTTAAAAACTAATTTACACGTTGTAAATTGTGAATGAATGTGTATAATCGTGTGTTTATGTTGCAAACAGTAAGTGTTGTAAGTGTAATGTTTTTGAAAGAAATCCTCTGGTTCGCACTGGATAGAGTATCTTCTTCCCACCAAACATGAGACGTCCATCAGACGTGCAGATCATGTCTAGATGGGGTCGGTCGGTCCAGAACCATATCTGGATGTCTTCACAACGTGCAAATCAGGTGCAGTATCTGCACGTCTAACTCTGACCCCTCTTGGACGTAGATATGTAGTTCAAGCTGAACGTCTAGGTAGGCGACTTTTGGACATTTGTAGACAGATCGTCAATTCCATGTAAACATTGTCAGCGTCAATTCTGGTGCCTATTGTAGCTCATGCTGTTGTAATTTTAATGTTTTAAAATGTCCAAAAATAAACTGCTACACGTAAGCAATTTTGCAGATGCACGTCCGGTG